GTACTAACATTTAGAGTTACGAAGATCTACCTATAGATGTTTTACCTTTTCATCTTTGGCGTCTTTTCACATCATCGATGACCCTTACTTGCCTTGCGGTAATCCTTCTGTACCAAGGATAAAAAATTCCTTACTCACGAGGGTGACACTTGGTGTAACTGGCACACATAGTCTCTTAAGCTTATCTTTGCTCATATTGCTTGTTTTAGGGAAGCGTATCCCTGAATGACCATTCTCTGAATTCATCATGGATCTTCTTCTGTTATCCATTCTATTATTGCCGGAATGCAATCTGAAATTCTCATGATGCTGACTATTATCAAATTACTCAGTTCCTAATTCATATTTAGTTTATCTTGTTCACCAGTCCATACCGATTTCTATTACTCTGGGGTCTAACTTTTCCTTCTATTAATCACGTTAGAGTCGCAAAATTATTTCTCGAAATGAGGATGTAACTGTATGGCCTATACTCTTTTGTTGTCTTAAGGCCCATCACCTTTCGTCTCTTTCTTTATTTGACTATAGGTTCTGTAACACTCTACCGTTGTCATCCATGTATCACATCTCACTTATAATTCTTCCTTATCTCTCTTCTCATTACTCTGCTAATATTTCTGCCCATCCCTTTCTTGTGAAAACTTCAACACGACATTCTTTTGCTTTTAGCTCTCCCTACTTCATTCATCGGCTCTTCGGGTTGCTCAACGTCCTCGCTCTACTAGGGACCAGAGTCACACTAAGGTAATATTTATCCCTTCCAGGCTTTCAGTGCCTATCTTCTGAATTTTTTTTTGATCATGCTAGTATTCACATCTAATAGTAATATTCTAGAGTGCACCATCTGGGTGTCTCACAAGGAGATCTATTAGCACATTTGCAATATCCTTCGGAATGTCAGCTAATGCTAACAATCCATCTAACATTTTGGGTTACTTTAACCCCAGCTGGATCTTGATATCCCGTCCTTCTCTTAGACTATATTTGTTAGCTCCCATAGAGCATAACTTAGATCGGTGTGGCCAATTATACATACCTCTGTTACTGTTGAAGGTAACCAAAATGCTTATATCTCTCTTCTTGAATGGTAAATAAGGATAATCTTCGCTAGCTGGGTACCTCGTACTCTCCTTCACCTTGCTTCCTTTACTTGTTGAAACTTGTATTTATCTTTTGAATCTCTCATTGTCTTTTACCATAAAGGTGGATAGATATTCTTGCCATAAGGCTCCTTTTTCAGAAGCTCACCGGGTTCTTCTGACTCAACTCTTTCACAACCGCATTCAATCCCTTACCAACCATCTTCTATATGTAGGCATTGTCGTATTATGAATAAGATAGAGTTTAGGAAATTTAGTTCTTGCGACTGAGCTCTACCACATGATCTAGAGTAAGAAAAAAGAGTGACAGTCCTAAATGCTCTATAGCCTCCTGCTTATAAGTGTGGTGCACAATACACCCATAAACAAGACTCTACTAGACAGGGCTTGTAGACTCCCTAGGACAGAACTGCTCTGATACCACTTTTGTCATGACCCAAACCGATGGGCCGCGACGGGTACCCGGTACCTTACTCAACCGAGTACCAACATAACGTATCTTTTCATGTCATACTATCATACATAACTAAGCTGGAAGGCCGCTGTGAGATAAGTAGAATACAATATGTGATACCAACTTATACATAAGACATACGGGCCTATAAGGCCAAAATAACCACTCATACACTGAACATAGGCCGACAAGGCCATATAATCTTTTACGTACATGACATCTATCTACAAGCCTTTAAGAATACATAATTTTCATAAAGGCTGGGACAGAGTCCCGCCATACCAAACAATACACATCTAAATCATACTAACCAAACAAGCAACTCCGAAGCAAATGGAGCGCACCAACATCTTCCGCTGAGCTGATAGCCTACTTGGAGGGCTCTCGAACTGTCTATCGGGACCTGCGGGCATGAAACGCAGCGTCCCCAGGCAAAAGGCACGTCAGTACAAATAATGTACCGAGTATGTAAGGAATAAAAATCAGTAAATAATAGACATAAGAGAAACGTGGAGTAAAAGACTCGACATGTACTTTTGCATAGCTCTGTCAATCATTTCATTTTTATAATGTCATGCATATGCGTATAAATGTCATACCATGCATGGATATATGCGTTCATAACATCATCAAGCCTCTGAGGGCATCCCATCATATCATCTTAGCCACTGTGGGCAAATCATCAACGTATACCAGGTGATCAGGTGGTGGTGCGTATATAACGCCGTAACCTTTTCCTATATCCCATATACATATAATATACATATATACACGTATATAACTCCATATGGGCATGGGTCAATGTACACGAATGCAATGCATGAGAAGTACGTCAATAAAATCTTTCGGAGTGTCATAAGACCACTTTGCCTTTGAATAATACCTTAAAGTAAACTTTATCAACTTACATATTTTCTGAGACCCATGAACAGATGATAGAATAATATGACACATGGGGGATCAAGAACATAAGCATCTCTGATATTTCTATGAATAGAGTCATTTATGGAAATTGTGCATTTGCTCGTTTCGTTCGTATCGTATGGATCATGCCAAAAAGAAATAAGGGATAGCCTTAACATACCTGAGTCGATTCTCTTGACAATTCCTCTAACACACGTTAATTTTGACAAACACTTGACGGCAAGATCGGAGTAGGGAAAATCCGTATGATATTCTTGAGAAAGATTGCACCGTTTTCCTTTAGAATCTCAAAATCCCATTGATATTACCTTGTGAAATCTCATACGAATTTTTGTTGAAAATTTCATATGCTCACTTTGTTAATTTGATCACAACCTTTCAAGGTTTTTACTGAAGCAATACGTTAGAGCCTTTATGGCTTTTCTTGTGAATTCCATCTATTTTGTAAATAATGCAAGCCTTGGACTTAAGAAGAAATTTTCAATCCTTTCTTAAATGATTGCCATCTTCCATGTTATAGCATGAGTTATTTCAATTTGCAAGGGGGGGGGGGGGGGCTGCCACCTCATGCAATATAATTGATGAGTAATATCCCATTATTAAGAATCCCATTATCCAATAATTAATTCCTTAATTAATTGGGTAATATCCTATTATCCAATAATTAACCAATCACCCACATAATTAAGAATTACCTCAAATTACTTAAAATACTACTCACTTTTCACATACCTTATACACCTTACTATCATGGTCATGTGGTACCTTATATGGCACTAGCCCATAAATGTCGAGTACTTTAGCTCTGGCCGTCTTTTATCCCAACATGCCAAACTTGGACGAAAATTCATTTTCTTTGACTTGCTTCCCCTCTCACCTTCACGAATTTACTCATTACTTGCTTGAAATAGCATAATCCTTATAATCTCCAAATAATCTTTTCCTTGGACTGATGTCAATTACGTTACGACAAATTTAAATACAATACTACAGGGTGCAACATTGTCGTAATTTAATACTGCGAAGCGTAACATCTTCGTAATGTAATACTGCAAGGCGTAACATCATCGTAATATAATACTGCGGGACGTAATATCGACGTAATATTGCGGGGCGTAACAATAGGGGAGCTCCCGAGGTACCACCTCGTAGTCCCAAAAGTAAATATGCAATAGGGGCCCTCCCAAGGTGCTGCCTCGTAGTCCCAAAAGTAATTATGCAACAGGGGCGCTCCCGAGGTACCGCCTCGTAGTCCCAAAAGTAAATATGCAACAGGGGCACTCCCGAGGTACCGCCTCGTAGTCCCAAAAGTATAGAAGCAACAATGACAAAAGCACAAGAATACGGCAAGTAAATCAGCTCGGGAACTCCATGACACAGAGAGGCGGAAGAACGAACTCACAAGGAAAGGTACAACAAGAAATAATGGTACAACATAGAAGTAACTCAACAAGGAAGAGATATTGTGTAGCAAAGATACCACATAAGTACAAATTCAACGATAGGAGGGATAACGTGAATCAACGACTCCAATTAAGGGTAAGTCAACAATGATAAGATATCGCAAATCTTCAATTAGGGTTGAGCAATTACGGAAGAGAATTAACAAACTCAATTAAGGATAAGCAATTGCGGAAAGGATAGCATTGCAATAAAAGAAGTAACAACTTCAATTAAGACACATAAGAGTTTAATCGGTAATAAGAGTAAAACATGGAAAAATTAATTCCAATTAAGACACGTAAGTTGAATTTAGTGAATGTGGAATTTAACATAATAAAACGACTTCATATCTAATGAACATAAGAAGCTAAGATCCCTAAACGGTCAAATTTCCACAAATAAGCCCGTGCACGTACTCGTCACCTCGCGTACACGGCTTCACACGACACAATTACCACCAAAGACTCAAATCCTATGGGGTAGTTCCCCCACACATCAAATTTTTCATGCAAGTCTCAAAATGACATAACAGAGCTAATCCAACTCTCAGAATTGCAATTCGAGCCCCATATCAACAAAGTCAACTCCCGGTCAAACCTCTTAGCCTTCCAAAACTTCAACTTTCCAATTTTTGCCAAAATGCCTCAAATTATCCTACGACCCTCCAAATCCAAATCCGGACACACGCCTAAGTCTAAAATCACCATAAGAAGCTATTGGAATCATCAAATTCCATTTCGGAGTCGTCTACACAAAAGTCAAACTCCGATAAACTCTTACCGTTTAAGCTTCTAAAACAAGAATCCTTCTTCCAAATTGATCTCGAATCATCCAAAATCCGAACTCGACCACACACACTAGTCATAATACATAATACGAAGCTGCTCGAGACCTTTAGCCACCAAACAGAATGCTAATTTTTAAAACGACCTGTCGGATCGTTACATTAAGTCACTTTATGGACTTAAGCAAGCTTCGAGGCAATGGAATATTAAGTTGAACCATAACACTTCTTAATTCAAAGGAGAGCCACTTTGACTATTCCCTGTTCACTAAGAAATAGGACTTCCATAATGTAGTTGTTTTGGTCTATGTTGATGACCTTCTGATTACTAGTGATGATGCAGACCTTATTTCTGCTACCAAACATATTCTGCATCAAAACTTCAAAATTAAAGGGCTGGGGGAGTTGAGGTATTTTTTGAGCATTGAATTTGCTAGAAGCATTGAAGGGATATTGTTGCACCAGAGAAAGTATGCTCTTGAGGTCATCTCAGATGTTGGTCTTACAGGATCTAAGCTTGTTCATGCTCCTTTTGAGATAAATCAGAAACTCACCTCAGTTACATATGATGATCACCTCTATCTTAAGGATGATTATTTGCTTGAAGATCCTAGCGCCTATCAAAGACTGCTAGGCAGACTCCCCTATTTGACAATTACAAGGCTAGACATCTCTTTTGTTGAGCAATGTCTAAGTCAATTCATGCAAGCTCCCAAGAATTCTCACATGGTGGTTAGGTACATCAAACAAAGCCCGGGTCTGGGGATTCTTATGTCAGCTACTTCATCTACACAATTGAAGGCTTATTGTGATGTTGATTGGGCAGCTTGCCTTAATAACAGAAAATCAGTCACTGGTTACTTGGTGCAATTTGGTGATTCCCTCATTTCATGGAAGTTTAAGAAGCAAAGCACTATTTCCGGGAGTTCTGCTGAGGCAGTGTATCGTAGTCTAGCATCAACAATGGCTGATATTGTGTGGCTTGTTGGTTTGTTCGATTAATTGGGTTTTGCTCTCACATTGCCTGTTCCCCTTCATTGTGACAGTAAATCAGCAATACAAATTGCTGCTAATCCTGTGTTCCATGAACGAACGAAACATATTGACATTGATTGTCATTTCATCCGTGAGAAGATTCATCTAGGCTTGGTTCAAACAGTCTACATGAAGTCTGCTGATCAACCTACTGATATCTTATAAGCCAAGGGCTTGAGTAGTCTTCAGCATACTAACTTACTGTCCAAGCTAGTCCTCAAAAACATTTTCATTGGTCCTAGTCGTTTCATTAGTTATCGTCGTTTTACGCGAAAGGTCATCTGGAAGAGTTGCACCTCTTCGGTTGAATCCAACCTGCTGGCTATAAATACCAGGCCATTTTCTAAGATTTTTCTTATGAAAATTCCGAAATCTCTTCTTCCTTTTTGCATTTTTTTTCTTCTTCCAAAACAAAAGCAATTTGTGATTTACAACCACCATTTGTGTTCGTTGTACACTGGTGTTTGAATTACTGCTATACCAGTGTGGTTATCCATTTTATTCATGGAGGAAATAATCCTAAACCTCAGGTACTAGGAGAGGATTAAGTTTCTTAAGTAAACACTGTAAATTTGGGGGGCTCATATATAATTCTGCTTCTTCTACATTTCTGTTTTACGTTGTTGAAGTTTCCGGAGTATATATTCCAAATACAATAACAAAGCCACCTGAAATTCATGGGTCGTGACTCGTAAGTAATCACTAAGCAAAAAGCTTACTGGAATTGTGGGTCGGATTAGATTGAGCAAAAGAATTAAAAAGAAAGCTAAAATTATATTCTTAAAATATTATAATATTTATGTGATTATATTATTTTTTTTAAAATCTATAATGTTAAATATGCCATAACAATTAGGCACCAATAAATCTTATCACTGAAGGTAAAACAAGATATCCAAGTTATATTGTTTTTAAATTATAACCAATGGACTAATAAGAAATAATGACTTTTTTTTTCAGAACGGAGATAGTAGTTTTGCATTTTGGTGACGAGAGATCAATCATATTGGCGCAGAAATTACTTTTATGTATTTCCTTTTTGCTCCTTGACAATTTTACCCTTCGTGTTATTACTCCTTGTGCATTTAGGCCGTTCCGGAACCTAAATATTGTGTTTTTGGACTCAAAATACATTAATAAGTGCAAAAAAAAAGTTATATATCTATGTATAGCGTTTAAATACAAGACGTTATACCTTAACGGTAACTTTTTCCGTTAAGGTATAGCGTCTTCTGTTTATACGCTATACTGACAGGCGATTTGACTGCCACATATAGCGTATGAAATGAAGACGCTATACATATAGCGTATGAAATGAAGACGCTATACCCTGATTATGGACCCACCAATAATTTAACTGACATAACAGTAATTTAAATGAGTATAGCGTCTATTTAAAGAACGCTATACGTCAAAAAAATTTCATATCCCGGGCTAGCCATTTCCTATATAAAGTGGTTAGGATTTTAGGAAAATTCGTTCACAAAAAATTCCAACTCCCATTTAATATTTTCTTGTTGCTAAATTCTTAAGCATTTTTTCCGTAATGTCTGAAGAGCATAGAATAAGAGTTTCATTATATTGTGGGGGTGAGATTGTGATGGAGAATAACTCCGTGAGGTATAGTTTATCTCTACAGGGTCATGTTAAATTACCACTTACAATGGAGTACGATAAATTGATATCGTTGTTATGCAAAAAAATAGGTGTGAGGAAACGTTCAGTGATACTTAAAGTAACCGGAAGATATCCGTATTCCGTCACTCCGCAAGGGGCTGCTTTTTACTCGGAGTTAAACATCTACGATGATGAAACTTTGAGGAATTTCTGAGGACTCCGGATGAATACCGGGAATATCTTGTAATCAAAATGTTGTATATGTACGTCAAGGTCGAAGACGTTCCAAACAATGAGGTTGCCGGACAGGTTCCAGATAACCCCCAGTCATCAGGTGGTTATTCTGGAGGAGTTTTTGCCGGACAGGTTCCGGATGAAAGAGTTTTCTTGATTTAAACTTATCCCCGCCTGCTTTACATAATTCACAAGACGAGTGGTAAGCTTCAATTTTCCTTTGTGTTTACGATGTACATTTTTATTGTATTGAATTTGAATTAACGCTCATATATTTAACAGGGGGTACAGGCCGGATATGAATTTTACAAATTATGAACCCAAGCATAGTTTTGGTGTGTTGGATCATGGTGGTCCATCCGGGAGCCATCAGCTAAATGAAAATGTCCATCATGGAATTTCATCACATTACGACTTGTAAGTGAAGTGATACAGTTATATGGAAAGTATTTATTAAATTCAGTATCTTATTATTTTGTTGATTGTGCAGTGAAAACGAGCAAGTTGAACCAAATGTACTCACTCAATTGCCCGAAGACGATGTATTAAATTGGGATCTGGCAGATGCACAGAGTGAGGAAGAGAACAGTGATTACGACAACAATGCTGATGAATGGTGATGAGGAGGATGAGAAGGAAGGACCTGATTTGACGAGAGAGTATGCTCTACCCCCCCCCCACCACCCCTAGACGAAGAGTGTACGAGTCCCAAGTACCGTTTCATTCAAGGGAGATTCCTTACCTTAATAACTTGCCAAGCACGCCGGATGTGGAAGCTCTCACAAGGGATTTTGATGAAATTCGGACAGCAATGTGGGACGAGTCTAGACCAACGGTACTGGCAAAGGGCATGCTTTTTCCTGATAAAGTGCGCCTAAGCAGGGCTTGTAAAATGCACGACGTAAAAGAGTGTCGTGAGATGACGGTATGGGAGTCTAGTCCGGTTGTATACAAGGTTGTTTGTCGCAGGTGGTTTTGGCCATGTCATTGGATGTTGCGTGCGAGCAAGAAGAAGACAGGTCTGTGGAAAGTGGGTAAATACATTCCCACCCACACATGCGAAATGGACACATTCAACGGGAACTTCAACTTGGATATTGACTTGATTTCTCTTGTTCTTATTCCACACATCGAAGCGTCCATAAGGTATAAAATCAAAGAGTGCATTACAGCAGTCCACCAGGAACATGGCCATACCATTACTAAAATAAAGGCATATCTTGGGCGCAAACGAGCGTTTGAAATAGTCTATGGTAACTGGGATAAGTCATTTGCAGATCTGCCTAGGTACATGGCTGCACTGCAGCAGTTTAACCCCGGGACGGTTGTTGAATGGAAGCTTGAGCGGAGTCTGGGTAAACCAGAATATATATTCAATTACGTGTTCTGGGCGTTTAAACCAGCAATTGATGGTTTTTCGCATTGTCGGCCCGTAATATCCATAGACGGCACTCATGTCTATGGGAAGTACGATATCAAGCTGTTGATAGCCGTGGCAGCAGATGCTAATGGACAGATATTTCCTCTAGCTTTTGCTATTTGTGCCAATGAAAGCCAAGAGACTTGGACGCTGTTTTTGAAACACTTAAAGAGCACGTTGTCAAACAGCGTTCCGGTATCTGTCTAATATCTGATCGGCACGGTGGTATCTTAAGTTCTGTGGAGAACTTGCCTGCATGGCAAGAACCTTATACCTACCATCGTTTCTGTGTTAGGCACTTTAAAACCTATTTCCAGAAGGCATATCCCAACAAGGATCTGCATGATTTGATGTGGATGGCAGCAACAGACCACCAACAGCATAAATTTCGGACGCACATGGAATATATCAAGCAAGAAGACGAGGCAGCCTATCGTTGGTTAATGCGACATGACCCTGAAAAGTGGACTTTGCATGCGGATGGTGGCAGATGATGGGGAACTCTAACTACAAATGTGTCAGTCTTTCAACGGGTTATTAAAGTCGGCAAGAGGATTGCCCGTCACAGCCATGGTGCGGATATCGTTCAAGCAGATGGCGGAGAGGTTAGTTGAAAGGTCTGCAACTGCAATGTCATTGATGGAAAGGGGTGTTGAATTTATGCCAGTGCCAATGAAGAGATTTGAGAAATACAGACGGCGAGCACATTGGCATTCATTTTTGCAGTATGATAACGAAAGAAATGTTTTTGAAGTTTGCACCGCTATCCATGAAAACCGGGGGAATAATGTACATACTGTAAATGATCTAGAAGGTTATGCTCTTGTGGGAAATAGTCCATCTACCACATGCCTTGCTCACATGCCATCAAGTGCTTTCAACGAGTTGGTTTAGGTGCAACCAACTATGTTGATCAAAAATATAGTGTTGCGAAGTACCTAAACACATATAGTGGGCAGTTGCAGCCAGTGGGTGCTGAGCATTATTGGCCGCCTGAACCATTTAAAATGGTGTGTAACAAGTCCTACTTGCGTCGAATACAGGTGCAGAAGAGAACGCGTATACGGAACCAAATGGATGTTAGTGATACCGTTTATGCGCGCAGATGTGGTATATGCTCGCAAACAGGACACGACCGTTGAAAATGTCCTTCGGCTGGTTTGGGTGGCAATAGTACTCAAGTTCGTGGTGGTCCTTCTTCTATTATGCCTAACTATCAATGAGTTTATGTTATAATATTTAGTTATTTTGTTTATGTTGCAAGTTTTATAAAATAAAATTATGTTTGTTAATTATGAGTTGAACTTTTCCATTTCAATTTTTTTAATGATATTTAAAAAAATTATATATTCGGAAGAACTGGAAACAACATTGAAATATCATAAAGCTAATTAATTTGATTTTAATTATGTTTGTTATTTTATATATGTGTGTTGTCTTGTCGAACTGACATAAAGCTGTTTCGTACCCGTCGGAACCTTTAACACGCAATGCATAGCGCGCTCAAATGCTACGTTATGTGTGTATATAGCGCGGTTAAATAGTACGTTATGTGTGTTGTCTTGTCGAACTGAAAAGGCTGCCCAACTGACATAAAGTTATTTCGTACCCGTCGGAACCTTTAACACGCAACGCATAGCGCGGTCAAATACTACATTATGTGTGTATATAGCGCGGTTAAACAGTACGTTATGTG